GTTGCAATCCCTTCTCCTCCATTCTCCTCTCGGGATCTTGGGCACACATGCACACGCGCCTGGCATGAGTTTAAGCCACTGCGTCCAGGATGTGAACTGCGGTCGACTACGTGGGAATCCAGCGACAGCCATTATGCTAACTGCTGGTCCCACCTAATAAAATAATTCTTAAAAAAAGAATTGAAGGTGAGGAAATAGTGATATAACAAGAGAGGGGAGTTTAAAATAGAAATGATAGAATTAGGGACATGACGATGGAGTTAAAGACTTAAAAGTTAAATAGAGGAAGAGAAAGTATTACGTTTTATAAGTTATTACATTTTGCAAGTATTACATTAAAATAATAGGCAAAACTAATAAAATAATTCTTAAAAAAAGAATTGAAGGTGAGGAAATAGTGATATAACAAGAGAGGGGAGTTTAAAATAGAAATGATAGAATTAGGGACATGACGATGGAGTTAAAGACTTAAAAGTTAAATAGAGGAAGAGAAAGTATTACGTTTTATAAGTTATTACATTTTGCAAGTATTACATTAAAATAATAGGCAAAAGTCAGACATCTGACAGCTTTTGCATATTCTAAAATTCTTCCCAAAGATCCCTGGGGGAAGTCAGGCCTACAAACATCAGACCACCTACAAACATTAACAGCCTACTTTAGTCCATTGATATATGATGCTTCTGCCAATGGAAAATAACTCTAAAAATTAATAACTGAGATGGGCTGAAATAGTTATTAGCTTTAAATCCCCCCTCTATGGGTGTTATGTAATGTACTTAATATAACCTTAATAACCTTTTATTTAGATCACCCCCCAAAATTGTTAAAAAGAAATATTTTTATGCCTTACTTGTAGATTTTTACTCAAATGAGATTTTAGTGTTTTGTAATTTTGTATGTAGAATTACATATATTAGCCTTAATTTGTAACCTTTTGTAACCTTAATAATTTTTTTTTTCTTGAGAGGTTTTTGCTATAGTGTGTGTGCACTCGCCAGAAAGACAGAGTCAAGAGAGACAGAAAGTGAGAAATCACCCCCCAGAGGGGATGGCCATGCCGCAATCCCTTCTCCTTCATTCTCCTCTCAGGATCTTGGGCATGCACGCACACACGTGAGTTTAAGCCACCAGGTCCAGGACTCGAACTGCGGTCGACCACATGGGAGTCCAGCAACATAGCTATTATGCCAACTGAGGGTCTCAATATTTTTTTAAAGAATTATTTATTTTATTTTAAGATTTTATGAGAGAGAGCAAGAGAGAGAGAGAGAGAGAGAGAGAGAGCGCGCAAGAAAGGAAGCTGCCAGACCTGGAATTTGTTTTTTTTCACACAATTATGCTGAATGAGAAGTCCTATGAAAGACATCAGCAAGCTGCAAGCCCGGGAATGCTGGTACCATGGCTCAGCACAAGTCTAAGGCCTGAGAGTCCAGGGTGGGGTACAGGGTGGAGACAATGGGTGATGCCATGAGTGTAAGGTCTGGAGTCCGAAGGCAAAAGATGCTGGAGTTCCGATGTCCAAGGACAAGAGAAAAAGAGCTTCCCCAGCTCCAGTAGAGACAGAGACCAATTTGCCTTCTCTCTGTTTTAATTCTAACTGGACCCACAACCAACTGCATAGTGCTTGCCCCACTGAAGGTATATCTTCCCCCACTTAATCCACTCAGACTCCCCTACCAATTTCCTTTGAAAGCACTTTTATATAGGAGCTTTTTTTTTTTTTTTTTTTGGAGAGGTTTTTGATATAGAGCGTGTCGTTCACTAGAAAGACAGAGACAGAGTGACAGAAAGCGAGAAATCATCCCCCAGGAGGGATGGCCACGCTGCAATTCCTTCTCATGCATTCTCTTGGGATCTTGAGCATGCACACATATGTGCCTGGCATAAATTTAAGGCACTGGGTCCCAGACTCGAACCGCGGTCGACTACATGGGAGTCCGGCGACATAGCCATTACGCTAACTGCTGGTCCTCTAGCCAGTATTTTTTAACTGTGTAATTTTTAAACAATTTTTCTATAGAACAAAAATAATCCTATAGATCCCACCAATGTTTTCCTACAATGCCATTACGCTAACTGCTGGTCCTCTAGCCAGTATTTTTTAACTGTGTAATTTTTAAACAATTTTTCTATAGAACAAAAATAATCCTATAGATCCCACCAATTTTTTTCCTACAAGAGTTAGAAGCCAAGTGAAAAACTTTGTAGTTTAATACTAACCAAAGTATATTAACTTAAATGATGACAAGTATTTTACCAGTAGTAATTTAACATAGCGTAATTTCTTTCTTTCTTTCCTTTTTTTTTTTTTTAGAGGTATTTTTACTATAGGGTGTTTGTGAGCTCCAGAAAGACAGAGAGACAGAAAGCAGAGGATGGTCATGCTGCAACCCCTTCTCCTCCATTCTCCTTTTGGGATCTTGGGCACACACGCAAACGCACCCAGTGTGAGTTTAAGCCACTGGGTCCGGGACTCGAAGAGTGGTTGACCACATGGGAGTTCAGCGACATCGCCATTATGCCAACTGCTGGCCCCCCTGCCATTATGATCATGATCTTAAAACTATGAATCCAACTTGAAATAAGGGCTAAGACTGGGATTAAAAAACTCTTCTAAGGGACTTGGATCTAAGGTTCATTTATATTGTAATGACCCACAAAAAAGAAGAAACTTATACTTTGGTTATGATAAAATAAGGAGACAAAGGCTGAGAGAACACTATACCACCCAGTATAAACACAGGTCTTAAAAGAATAACAAAAATGTAAACTTTTACAAGATAGAAATTGCTGCCTGCAAGCACAAGAGAAAGGGGGAAAAAAAGACCCCAAGCCTACTGCTGCTAGAAAACTGATGATTGTTTTCTACTAAAGTAGAAAATGTTTTCTAAGACCTCATGCAAATCAAGGAGGCCCACCAGATGAACACATCCTATAAAACTGGTAAGGACATGATCAATTCAGTAGAGACTTCTGTGCTTAAACAAAATACAAAAATTAAATAAAACAAAACTCTAGCAGACTGGCTTCTTTCAACAGGAACTATCCTGCTCTTTGTCCCTGCTCATAGCAACAAGTCTAGGCTTTTCTTCCCCATATCATGCGCTTAAGGTTTGGCCCATAGTATCGTGGTGAGGGCACGAGTTTGGAGCTTGTTGACAATAACCATTATGTTGACCAATCTGTCAATGTGTATCTTTCCCAAATTTGTTTCTGGTAAGAGAAGTAATAGGAAAAGATAGAAATTGTCTGGACATGGGGAGTTTTTTGGCACCTTCTTAATTTCAGAAGCAGCTTCTGTTATTTTACTTGAGACAGCCTCGAATTTATTCTTGTTAACTTTTTTTCTTTTCTTTTCTTTTTTTTTCTTTTTTGGAGAGGTTTCCGGTATAGGGCATGTGCGCTCGCCAGAAAGACAGAAATAGAAAGCGAGAAATCACCCCCCGGGGGGATGGCCACACCGCAATCCCTTCTCCTCCATTCTCCTCTCGGGATCTTGAGCATGCACTCATACGCGCCCGGTGTGAGTTTAAGCCACTGGGTCTAGGACTTGAACCGCGGTCGACTACATGGGAGTCCAGCGACATAGCCATTACGCTAACTGCTGGTCCCCAGCGCCACTGTATTTACTGGTCTGTCTGTGGACCACCTCCCCACTCAGTCGTCAGCTCCCTGAGGGCAGGGACTGAGTCTACTTTGTCACTGCTGAGCCCCCGATCTAGTCCAGCGACATAGCCATTACGCTAACTGCTGGTTCCTATTCTTGTTAACTTTTTATAAGGAGTTAATTTGACCATCTTTTTTAAAATAAATTTTTAATACTAATTAAAGTAGCAATCTCAATTTTTTAAAATGAGATACAATTTTAAAAAAAATTAGAGCAAAAAAAGACTGATGTAGAAATATTGAAGCTTCTGCCTGAGAAAATTCTAACCAAGATCACCTCTTGTAGTTCTTCCCATTTATCTAAATACCTGCAAGTCAAGGCGCCATAGATGTCAAACATAAAGCTAGCTGTGGTGCCCAAAAGGGGTCATCCTCTTTGCTCTTTTTAACTATAGATGTCTTATTCCTTTCCCCCTCCCCCCCATTTTTAAAAGGAGAAACCAATATATAAATAAATAAAACAAACAAACAAAATGGAGAAACCAGCCTATGGAAATCTAAGGAGTTTAATGTGGTGGACCAGTGTGCTACTTTTTTGAACGTCTCTCCACTAAATGTCACTCTAGTGTCGAGATCACTCATCTTACGTGTCTCAGTTCCCTTCAAGATTTTAGTACACTTAAAGTGGCCCAAAACGCTTGAGTGGTCAGCTCTTATTTTGCATTAACTGGATGGGTCTGTTTGAATTATTGTGTTGGGGATTTCCTGCAGGGGAGGAAAATATCTCCCCCTTTTGGACACTCCCTAAATATGGCTCTCAGTCACCTGAGGTGGCTACCCAGAGGGAGGAGCAAGTACCATTTCTTTTCAGAGCTGAGAGGCTCAGTCTCTCATTTGTTTATTTTATAGGACAGTCCAGTTTCTCCGCTTTGTCTATTTTATAGGACAGTCCAGTTTCTCTGCAAAAAATGCATAATAGCCATTTTTTTTTCCCAAGGAAAAAGACCCTTTCAGAATGCAACCTCAAATGTTAGGTTTCCCTAACTATCTAGTTAGAAGAGTGTAAACCACTGCTCCTTGCTAGGAGGAGAGCAAACCACTGCCCCTCTTTAGGTGGAGACCAAACCATGCCCCTCTCTAGGAGGAAAGCAAACGTGGGTTACCCAAAACAGACAAACAAACCTAAGACAGATGAACAAGCAAACCAGCTTAAAAATAAACCAGACCTACAAAATTTTGGGAGGTCTGAGGCCAGATGACTTACTGAATCTTCCCTGAGGAGAGGCTTGGAGCCAGAGAGGGCACAAAGGGCCCACTGCGTGTACCAGGCACTAAGTTTGAAGCATCCCCTCAGAAGATCTTTGGTTCGTCTCTGGTCCCTTCATGGTCACCATCTTGTTGATGAAAAATAACCAACTCTAAAAATGAATAATTAATGCGGTTTATTTCCAAGCAGAATATGAGTGACCTAGGCCCGGAGAGGAGACAAGCATGCCTTTCTTAGAGTACTTAGTACAGGGGTTCCCTTTATCTGATTTTGAGAGTGACAGACAAAATTAGTGAAGAGATTTCCATTGGTCTGGCCCAAAAAGGCAGGACATGTGGAAGGGGGAGCTTGTAGGGTATAGGTGGGGTCCACAAATGGTAGGTTATAGGTGGGTTCCACAATTCCTAGATTGGAGATTGTCAGGGAAGATCTATGTCTTGGGAAGAGATAAGCAAAAGAATATACTGTAATCAGCTGAAATATACATCTCAAAGATACTATGTGAGGGACAGGATGATAAAAGAAAAAAAAAAAAAGGTCTGTTAATGTTTGTGGACATGACTCCCTCTAGGCCCTCTGGAAAGGACTTTGGAAAATAGGAAAAAGCAGTCAGACTTCTGTCCACGCTTCCTATACCTGTCCCTGGCATAGTATCTTTATGATGCATAGTAAGTGTTCTCTGTTCAGGTAAAACACAGACATACTTTTGCTGATTTCTTCCAGGAACAACTACTTGTAGTTTCCATTCCAATCACCAACCTAAGAGTTTCTATACCTACCTATAAGATACATGCCTCCACTCCCAGATGTTCCACCTTTTCAGACCAATGCAAAGACTACACTGAATTGCAAACTTTGTCTCTCACACTCAAAACTAAAAAAGAGGAACCACTGTATCTGAGCACCCTGAGAAACACGTCTAAGTCTTTCTCCAGGTGTATGTCATTCAATCATGTGTTTAGATACATAAATTATTATTTCTGCAGAGCTTGATTATCCTTCTACACACATAAAAACACACCTCCCTGAACTGTGTTTTTAGTCTCTATCTCTTACACACACACACAAATAAACACATGCACACACATGTGGCTATCCATTGCTGTAGCATGATGATATGAGGAAAGAGGTATTCAGAGCTCAAGCTTCCTGCAAGAGCATGTAGAATCCACATCTCAGTTTTAAAGCACATTAAGCAGCTTTCCATCAGGGCTCCCTGGACTTCCCCAGCAATCTCCTGAATGCCCTCTTTACCTCCTTGTTCCTCAGGGTGTATATGAGAGGGTTCAGTGAAGGAGTGCCCACTGCATAGAAGAGACCAAAGAACTTGCCCCTCTCTCGGGCATAGGGATTTCTGGGCTGGAGGTAGACAGCAATGACCGAGCTATAGAAGAGGGTGACCACAAGGAGATGGGAGGAGCATGTTCCAAAAACTTTCCTCTGTGCTGTGGCAGAGTTTATCCTCAGCACCGCCCGAGCAATGGCACCATAAGAGACAAGGATAAGACTGAGGGGCACTACCAAGATGAGGACACTGGCCACAGCCATCTGGATCTCATTGTACGTAGTGTCTTCACAGGAGAGTCTAATGAGAGCCGGGACCTCACAGACAAAATCATCCACCTGCCGGTGGGGGCAGAATGGCAGGCGGAGGGTGGGTGGTGTCTGGATCACTGATTCTGCCAGCCCAATGCCCCAGGCCACAGACGGGTCCCTAGGGACAGGAAGATGAAGAGCTGGATGGAGCAGCCCACGAAGCTGATGGTCTTAGGACCCCAAAGGTTGACCAGCATCTGGGGGACACAACTTGTGGTAAAGCAGAGGTCCAAGAAGGAGAGGTTTGAGAGGAAAAAGTACATCGGAGAGTGGAGCCTGGGGTCCATCACGGAGAGGAGGATGATGAGTGTGTTGCCTGCCAGGGTGAGGAGGTAGGACACCAAGACACCCACGAAGAGAATCCTTTCCAGCCCCGGGTGTTCAGAGAAGCCGAGAAGGAGGAAGCCCTCTGGGGAGCTTTGGTTGAACATGGCCCGTTCCTGTCTCGACATGGTGGAATGAGGCTGTCAAATTGGTGTGTCCCAATCTGTTTTCTAAAATCTCATCTAGGATGCTTGTTAGGCTGTACCAGGTAGGTGCTTCTCTTCTGCCTCTGCCCACCCTGCCTCCCTTCCTCAGGCTCATCACCATGTAGCAGACCCTTCTTGTCCCCTGTTCTTCCTGGTTGGACATTGTCCACTGGCAGTAAGGAATCCATGAATGTTCTGACAATGATGGAGCCTCATGCTAACCACCCCAACTTACTGACTGAGGGCAAAAGAGGCTGATGTAAAATATGGATTAACTGAGGTCAGCCAATGTGGTGATGGTTAAAGTGACTGGATCCCACATGACCAGCAAGCCAGCAGTTTGAAAAACACACTGGGCACATGGACTCCCAGCAGCTTGAAAAACACACTGGGCACATGGACTTTCACATGGCTGACTGGTTTGCATCCTGGACCTGGTGGCTTGTTTTCTCACCTTCCCTCTCTCTCTATCTCACTCTGTCCCTCTCTGGTCAAATAAATAAATAAATAAAGTTAAACAAAACAATTCTTTAAAAAATCAAAAATAAGGGACCAGCAGTTAGCATAATGGCTATGTCGCTGGACTCCCACGTAGTCGACCGTGGTTCACGTCCTGGACCTGGTGGCTGAAAACTCACGCCGGGCACGTGTGCATGTGTGCCCAAGATCCCGAGAGGAGAATGGAGGAGAAGGGATTGCGGCGTGACCATCCCCCCTGGGGGGTGATTTCTCGCTTTCTGTCTCTATGTCTCTCTCTGTCTGGCGAGTGCACATGCCCTATAGCAAAAACCTCTCCAAAAAAAGAAAAAGAAAGAGAGAAGGATTGGGCATTGTAGCACTACTGCAGTTGAGAGACCTGAGGGAAAGGATTGGATTCTCTGGTCTTTAAAAGCCCTGGGGTTAGGGGACCTGGAGATGGCATAGCAGTTTTGTCACTGAACTCCCACATGGCTGACCGTAGTTTGAGTCCTGGACCCTTTAGCTTCAAACTCACACTGGGCACATGTGAATGTGTGCCTAAGATCCCAGGAGGAGAATGGAAGAGAAGGGATTGCAGTGTGGCCATCTTCCCTGGGGATGATTTTTCACTTTCCCTCTTACTGTCTCTGTTTCCTTCTTTCTCTCTCCAATGAGAATACACATGCCTTAAGGGAAAAAACTTCCTAAAATAAAATAAAATTTTATTTTAAAATTTAAAATAAATTAAATGATATAAAATGTGAATTAATTGGGGCCAGCCAATTAATCCCCCAATTAATTGCAGCCAGCCAATTAATCCTCTAGGGGGATTAATCCTCCTTTATGGAGCCAGCAGGTGGCATGATGGTTGGGCACCGGACTCTCACATGGTCGACTGCAGTTTGAATCCCGGATCTGACAGTTTGCTTTCTCACTTTCTTTTTCTCTCTCTCTTTTATGAGCAAAGGTCCCCTATAGCAAATTTAAAAAATAAATAAATATTCTTTTAAAAGAGGCCTTAGGAAGGCCATCTAGGGGAGGGCAGCTAGCGAGATGGTAGGACACCTCACAAAAGTGCCATTGTAGGTTATAGGATGGTCTGAGCATTTCTCATCAGAGGGTCTTTGTCTAGTGCTTTAACTCCTTTTTGCCAGAACTTCTTGCTTTTGTCTCTCTTTTTTTCCTCATGATTTTTCTCTCTTACAAGATTTTTCTTTAAATTTTAAATATTATTATATAATCAGACAAAGATGTGAGTAAAGTAGATCTCTACAATGTAAAAAATAATAAAGTTAACTCCTGGTATGTCCACCAACTGGGTTAACCAAGTGAACAGGCATTTCAAGGATCTCTGAAGCTGCTGTGTGCCCCTTCCTGACATTTCGATTTCTTAACTTTTTTTTTTTTTAAGAATTATTTTATTTAAGTGTATTTATTTATTTAGTTTTAGTTTGACCAGAAAGGTACAGAGAGAGAGAGAGAGAGAGAGAGAGAGAGTGAGAAGGCAAGCCGCCAGTTCTCGGGCTCTAACTGCAGTCAGGAAGGCCAGTGCCCTTAACCACCATGTCACCTGCTGGCCCCAACTTTTTTTTTTTTTGAAGAATTACTTACTTACTTAGCTTTATTTATTATCATCATCATTATTATTTTTTTAAATTTGCTACAGAGCAAGTGTGCTCACCAAAGAGAAAGTGAGAAAGCAAGTTGCCAAGTTCAAGACTCGAACTGTTGTCCACCATCTAGGAGTCCAGCACCTTAACCACTACACACACATTTGCTGGGTCTTCAATTTCTTTCTTTTTTTTTTTAAACTAGGAGAATTTATTTCCTTAAATCACATTACAACTCAAGCTACTGGACAGAAGCTCATCAATACGTGTGCTGTATTTTTTTGCATTTGTTGAAAATTTACACACACAGAACTCCAAATGCCTCTCTTAGCAGGTTCAGTTATGTAAATACATGTTCTGTAGAACACTGAGAGGTTACTTGTAAGTCTATAAATCTTTAAGTTCAGCTTATCCAGTCACCAGTCCAAGAAGCTCTCGAAGGTGGTAAACTGGTAATAACTTTGGATTTTGCAAATGAAAGGTGTCAGAATAATACTATCAACCGATGCGCTTGGCAGACGTATTTGAACTTAAAGAATAGCTTGGCAGACTTATTTGAACTTAAAGAATACAAAAAAAAGTGAAATTGGCTTCACACAAGGAGACAAGCAGATTTCATGTAAACCACACAGGCTACTTTTGTACATTGCCCATTTGGACACGCAGCATGGGACGTGGACACTAAACAATGCGCTATTAAAGGCAAAGGAAAAGATGGACCATGAGACTCAAATGGACAGTTAGCAACTGTTGGCAATTGGTGTCACCGGTTCATTCTCAGTCAGCCATTTTAGGCTTCACAGTCTTTACTCCCTTATATGTTAAGACACCGGCTTTCATTTCGAAAGTTCTTATTCATTTTGTTTAACAAAAAGCCAGCTTTGGCAACACATACCTATAATAAAAGTCACTTAAAAACTGTGGCCCAAACACAAAGGAAAAAAAAAGAGAGACAATTTGGACAAAAAAATAAAATAAAAGAACAACTTATGAAAAGATTCTGGGTAGCAGGCTCTGGGGTAATGTAGTGTCTTTTGGCATATTGTTGGCATATTTTTTGGCATCTGCAATTTATAAAGAGAGGTGGAGGAAAAATAAGCAAAAGGCAAAGAAGGGAGGGAAGACAATGGCACATGACATTTCAATAAAAGGACCTTGTCTGTATCTTTGCCCTTGCCTTACTGACATCTGCACACATAAAATAAACTTCAGAATGGTTCTTTTTTGCTTTTTGATTCTCTAGATGATGTTTTGTTAGATTGAAATTATCAACTTCCTGAATACATGTAGAATCTCATTATAAACAAATTTTTTATTATTATTTTGGGGAAAGATGATTGTCTATTGATTCTAAGGTTATAAGACTCTTATGTAACTTGTGTTTAGTTATGTTTTTGAGAATTTTTCTATTTATTTATCTAACTTTTAAAATTTGTGTAAAATTATTTTATAATATAATTATTATAAAATTGATTACATTTTAACCTGTTATATGTTTAACTTCAAAATTTTTTCATAATGTTTTCGATGTGTCTTTCTTTATCAGTCTTGATTAATATTTATCTGTTCTATAGTTGTTCTTTTTTCCCCAAAGAACTCAGTTTGGGCTATGTTGTGCCTATTATATCTATTTTCTCTACTATAGACTATTCTATTATCATTATTATTTTTTCTTTTACTCTCCTTGTTCCTTTTTCAGATTTTCTTTTCATAATTTTTCTTCACTTTAAAGTTTACTTACTTTTTCCATGAGAAAAACAGATAGAGAAAGAGACAGAAGGTAGAAAAGAAAAAAGAAAGAGAGAGAGAGAGAGAAAGAGAGAGAGAGAGAGAACAACTCTTATCTTTGCGAGCGCATGACAGAATTTAAAATACATTGAGCCACAAGGTTTTGCCTAAAAAAAGATAGAGAGGAAATGTTCTGGGACTGTACTTCAGCATCCTCTGTTTTTCCTCTGAATAGTTTAAATAAAATCATAATATTTACTACAAACTCTGTGGACACACACAGAGTCCAGGACAGCAATAAATTAGTATTATGCAAATTGTTTTTCACAGAAATACAGTCCCTCTTGTATATCTTCAGTAGCCCACCAGGGAAGGGGAGGGCGGGTGTCTAGGAGGCACAATTAGACTAGATCGTACTCCTTCAGATTCAACTGGAGGACGGTGTCCTTGACCGCAGTGAAGACATAGCGGATGCTCTCCGTGTCTGTGGCGCATGTGAAGTGGGAGTAGGTAATTTTGTCACTGTCTGGGTTCAGGTCCACGAACATCTTCAGGATGAATTCTCAAGCTGCCTGGGCATCTCTCTGTGGTGGGTGGTATTCTGGGAAGTAGTCAACTAGATGGGAATACATGATTTTCTCCTCTAGAAGATTCTTCGTATTTAAGAACAGAATAACAGAGGAGTTCTGGAACCAGGGATATGTGATAATTGTTCTAAAGAGTGCTTTGCTTTCCTCCATTCGATTCTCATTGTCTGAGTCCACAAGAACTTGATCATATTCACTAAGCGACTGGAAACATGGTAGAGGTGACATTTTCAAAGCAGTATTATCCATTTTCTTCTCTCTGACTTTTGGCCCCCTACATCCACCATTCTGAAAATGACACTTTGTAAGTCAAAGGGGGTATTCCATGATTCCTGTGGTGGGGACTCGAACTCTAAGCACATCTTCTTGCATAGGCAGGTATGCAGGATCAGCTATGGGGTTCAAGTCATTAAGATAGTATTTGGTAGAGTCAGATAACTGATACTGTCGTCTTCTATTGAAGCACTCCTGGATTCCAGGATCTTTCCATAAACTCTTTATTGCATATACATATGGATCCTCAAAAGCAGACACCTTCTGCACATCCACTTCTCCCAACTAACTGTGCAGGAGCCTT